TCTTGAATCTTGAATTTAATAATTTTAGTCTTAAATAAATACTCTGAATATATACCATTGGTGAAAAATTCTACGTTAGAGGTTATTTTGTACGTCAAGAGACTCGTAATGATAGTAAGGTATAGTCGGGATTCAATTTCAGGTCTTATTATTTACGAAAGCTAACATTTTTTTCTATGCAGCATTGGTGCAGAACGTATTCTTAGTGAATGTGTTCAATTTCGAATTAATTCTCATGCCAAGGACCAAGAAGGGTATTATTCTGCATTTTAATTACTTGGTATTTTAATTAATTTTAATTTGATGAAATTTGTAGAATAATTTAATTTATTGTACGTATACAGTTGCTTAAGGTGCTTAGAACGAACGAGAATATCATACAGCCAGTTGAAGGCCAATCTGGAAACCTTATTAGGGGTGAGTAGACCGAATTTTTCATAATCGATCACAATCATGTAATGTAATATGCTTAGAATTAAGGGGTCGGGACTATGTGACACGTAATGTCGTGTCTATGTGATAACATGACTATGTGAACTTACTTCTAATCTAGTGTTTGTAACGATTTTAAATTGTAGATGGAGAATCGAATTGTACAAGCTGGTGGGTCAATTCCTACGCTACCAATCAATGAGGTTAAATGTATTTCCTTATATAGCGTAAAAAAATCGCGGTTTATTAAATAAAAAAGACTAATATATGTTTATTTTTGCTTGCAGAAAACGGGTACTAAAGTTGCTCAATATCAATTTGAATATGTTGATTACACTAGCACCTTGATGGATGAGGTATTAATTAATTACTCTAGTTAATTTTCATTCTTTCTCTAATTAAGCTTCATAATCTTGTGTTATGTTTGTATGCAATGGAAAACAGCATATTTTGATAACGGAAATCAATCCAAAATATGAAGCTCATAATCTGAATGTTGCACTAAGAGATGTCACGAGACGACTCGATAATTTGGCTGAATTTGTGTAATGTTTCTCTCATTAATTTTATTATATAATTATCTCTTCTTTCATTACTAAATATTTCTTACTAATTATTTCAGCCTAATAATTTATTATTCTGCTTTGAATTGATGCAGACAAGAACTAAATGACAATATGAATTTTGATTTTCATATTGACCCAGAAATTGCAAGAACTATGAGGTTTATTAATACTACACTTGATAGTTCCAGGTGATTAATTAGTCTTACTCACCCTCATTTTTTTTTCAATTTGATAGAGTTGATATTGTATTTGATCTATCGTAAATTAAAAAAAATATAGCTTACATATATTGATATACAATAACAATGTTTAAAGGATTATTAGTTCTAACATGATCAAATTGAAGTCTATTATACACAAGATTTAATTTCAAGTCTCGTGCGTGTCATTACACAAGTTAGAGTTTGTCAAGAAGGTCAATAATTACGCGGGGGCAAAGAAAGTAAACTTGTACACAAATTGTACTACTTACTTAGTTGTCAAATAATGGAAATAGAATTAACAAATAAGTGATTAGTATAAACTAAGAAATTGCTAGTGATTAATTTTCTTCTTGTTCTGAATTACTATGGCTAACAATTAGTGGTTCAAATGATGCAGTGTTGGTGCAGTGGGTTGTATAACTCTACGTGGTGCATTAAAAAAAGTACGAGATTATTACAAGGAGAGGAATATGGAAAAGTATGCTTTATATATATGATATTTGCATATCAATATTATTGCTTTGTTTATATATTATGTTATGTAATTCGTAGTATCTAAAAATTATGAAGATTTGATGAAAGCTGTTGAAATTTACACAATATGCTATTATAGGTGTATAGAAAGCATGAATAAAGCAAAGAATGAATTCAACTTACTGAAGAGCAGATTGGAACCCATAGTGGAGGTGAGCACAATTATTATAATTTTCAAGTTAAGTAAAATTTGTATGTTGATTTTGTGATCAAGCCATAATCTATATTTGGATATTAGAAAAAAAAAAAGTTGTCACACGTATTGGTTCATTTTGTAAATCAAGTGATCATGAGAAAACGACTATCTATAAAGGGTTCTTTTGATAAAGTATGTTTCGCGTGTGTTTGTATAAAATAGGTTGGGATAATGTAACAATTACGAACTTAGTTAATGTGGTGTTTATTTTGTAGATGGAGAAAAAGATCATAGATGGTGGTGGATCAATTCCTAAGCCAATAGTGAAGGATACAAGAAGAATTGGAGCATTGCATCCTAGTCATGTTTATATCATCGGCGTTGATGTTTCGTGGAATGTTGGAGACTAAAAGGATTAGTTCATATGATTCTTTGTAGTTTGTAGCTTTAATTTCTGTTAGGAGCTTGTTTGTTGTTTTATTTTTGACAAATTCTAGCTTGTTACATGTATAGTCATTTGATACTTTGCTCTGTAACTAGATTTCGATCATAAAAATGTTGTTTACATATTCTTTTGGTAATGAAATAATTTGGATTTTGGATTAATCCATTTGTAAAAGTTTTCTATTTTGAATTGTGTAAGACTGTTACTTTCAAGTAAGACTATGTAGCCTATGTTACTCAACCTCGGGAACCCGTGTTCAAAGATATGTAACTGGTTTATAATTGAACTAAGATTGTAATTTTTTAGGTATGGTTGATGGGTGAGTTAGTTTAAGGAAAATGGTGATGATGAGAATGATAAGGCCATTTTTAACAGATGTTTTGCCTGCTTTTATAGTTATATTTATATTTCAATATTGGTGCAGGAAAAGACTAATAGCTTAGTACTCTGTATAAGCTCTATGGCAAGTTGAATGTGTTGATTCCAATAATAATGAAAATTTTGTAGTGATCGATTAAAATATATATGACTATCATGATTGACTTGTACGGTTTTTTCTTCAATTAATAACTTTAATTTTGATATAACATAGTAATTGACCAATATTATAACTCTAGACAAGAAACCCAATACTACTATAATTAGGGTTTCAGAACGTGTTAGTTTAACATAAAGCCCTCTCTATATATAAATACGCGGTATATTAACTACAGGTTACACACTTATACGTAACACAAAACCCTTTGATTCAATTCATCACCTTCAAAGTCTTAATCAATGGCGGAAGAATTAGTGGATTTACCGATTTGTTAAAAGCTGGTGTTCATTAATTGATTCCTCCGATTTCATTGTTACGCATCTTCACATTTACAACAACAAACGCAAGTCTTTGATAGCCAAGAAGGAGACTGAATTTACCCTTTATAGTATCAACGCATTCAAGAAAATTGATATAGTTTTCAACATAAAAGAATCATTGCAATTCATACAAGAGCTGTTATGGACTGATTTTGTTACAAGAAACCAAAGATGAGTTCGTATTTTATAATCCTTGTATTCGAAAGTCGTTGGTGATTCCACCTTGTCCTTTTATTTCTCAGGGCGGATATACTATACTTTATTACCCCGGTTTCGCTTCGTCTACTAATAATCATAAGGCAGTTGCTTTCGGGTATCGTAGGATTTTTCCCGAGGTTTCGACTGCGGTTAATTCATTAAATGATCACCTTTGGAGGATCAAAGATAGGTTATTGGATGACACTCACATTCATAGTGAAAATAGGATAATACATCCGGGTGCACAGATCAGGCGTTGCATTCATAGATATGATGGGTGTGCTTATAATTCCAAGAGTGCTACCCACTGGTTAGGAATTGATCAGGATTATTCTAGACCACCCGAAACACGGATTCATCTTGTATCATTCGATTTTGATTCCGAGGAATTTAGCTTTACAGATTTGCCTGATGCTCTTAAACAAAAAGATAGCTATAAATTTCTGTTCATCCTCGGGGAGTCAATTGCAGTTTTTAGTGCGTGTTCAATGCGAATCTGCATATGGGTTTTGGTTAAGGATGGCGGAGATAGATCATGGCGATTGTGGTATACCGGAGATTCAAAGTTAGAGGCTTATCGGTTTCTCACAGTAGTTTTTTTATGGAGATTTTCAATGCTGAGAAGAATACATTTTTGGTACTTAAAAAGGGTAAAATGTATTCATATAAATTTAAAAGTCATCAGATACAACATTTGGAAAATTATACTGATCATAACAGTAGATCTTTTGAAGTTTATGTGGAGAGCTTAGTATTGCACAAACGAAGCCAAGGGAAGATTTGGACATCCTAGCCGTGAGACTGATGAATGTAGAACAGTACAAGATTGTCGATTTTCGGTCTGTAGTTTAACCATAATCCTTTAAATAATATTATACATTTATTTCGAGTGTATATGAAAGGTGTCCGTTTATTTTTTACTCCTATGATACGTCTCAGTTTTATTTTGTACTCATACTTGAATATTACCTTTTGTATAATACTTCGTATACCCTTTCCAAATGTTTTCAATAAAATAACTTTGCAAAATTGACTGTACATTTGTAAATTAGTTCCTAATTTGTAGTGATATTATCTTAGCTAGTTATTAGCCGAACATTACGCTTCATGAAGTCCTGAGTCTCATGATAGTTGTATAGACACGTAGTATGTCAGCCTTTTGAATTTTGATGTATTGGTAACATTCAAGGATATACCCATTCAAAGAAAGATTATCTACCTACCTATATGTATAAACATTTTATTTTTAAAAATACATAAATTAAAAAAAAAATATTACTATTATATGTTTAGACAAATATCAACTCTCGAAGACAGTCGCAATCATAACTTTATGATAGTTTTAACTGTATATATGCTTGTATAGGAATCAATGTAAATTTACTAGAATTGCAAATGTAAACCTTGAGAGAATAAAGAAGATATTCATGTGAGATATAACGTAGATCCAATTGTATGATTTAGATGGTCTTAGGGTTCTAATTTTTCCCATAACATACACATGCTCCATAAACAGAGATATATACAAGAGTTCTGTATCACGGTGATTATAGACAGGAAGTACAATATGATTAATGAACACAGCAGTACAAATTACATGACAATCGCGTTAAAAGAATGCAACACAATGAAAAGATAAGTAAAATATCTTATTACCCTCTTGCTAAAACAATACAAGCAAGTTCCAGTAAAAAAATTTATCACAAGTGCTATTTTCAGAAGCTGTGGTGTATCTATCATTGGATTGCTATGGCAGGTAGCTTTACACTTTCTTTTTTTTTTTCATATAAATGATTTCATGTAATACATTTGTCTAAAGAAGAGATAGCTGATCCTAGAGCTCGGTCGGTATCGAGTTTTATATGAGAGGTCTTTACCTTCAAAGAGAGCCTAAATAGTCCTTCAGTATATTTATGATAGGATTGGCATTAGATGCTTCCCCCAGTTTCTCAAAGATGATTCCATCCATTCTTGCCTGGATTCCCTCCATAGATGTCAACTCCTCAAGTAGTATTTTTAGAGTTCTGTCCACCCCAACAATAGTACCCCCTATGCCACTCAAAATCTCCGGCAATGAAGGGGATGGCCTGGACACTTCAACCAGTGTCACCTGCATCATTACCAACATAAACAATGAGATGGGTACAGAAAAAAGAGTTCTTCCTATTTTGGATGGTGATTGTCTCACCCAACAACAACAAAAAATAAAAAGTGTCATATCATGAAGAACTTTTAAAGACAGAGTAATTGGTATTTGGAAGCACATTATCATTTGGTAGCACTTAATTACAAAACTACTTGCTTCATGCTTTAAAAAAGTATCCCTTTTTTTTTGTTGGGGTTTTTTTTTTTGGGGGGGGGGGGTGGGGCGGGGGGCTTAAGTCCCAAATTCAAGTTTCAAGCATTTGCTTTCCTTGAATTACAAAACTTGTATTACTTGTTTCAATAAGCATGGTGGCTATGCGGTTGACCTACAAATAGGACTGGTGGTCTGCCAAGCTTACAAGCCTTACTTCCCAAGAGTACGGCCACACAGCCACATCTTTGACAAAAATGTCTTCCTCCCTCAAATCTGATAATAATTAACTTGGGCACTAGCCACCTACTATTGCAGTACAAGACATTGTACTATTGTAGCCATGGTCCATACAGATGTGGTCTTTCATTAAATGCAGTGTTAATCAATAATACATAGGTAGTATCCCAACAAGGCATCAACAAAGCATACCTATCGCACGAGTGAGAATTTACGGAGATGGCAATAACTAAGAGCTATGATAGAAATTTTGAATGCAAAAGGCAATAATTTGCTGATTAAAGTTTAATACAGTAAACCAAAACCATAGCACTATAGGAAGAAAGTGTTGGGAGTAAAAATAACACCATACATTAGAGAAGTATGAGCCATAAAATAGAAAGTAAATACCGGTTGCTCTTGGGGAATGTTAGCCTTTTGCTTTGCTATGGCAACTGCACGGCCCATTCCACCTAAAGCATCAACAAGTCCTCGAGAAGCAGCATCACTTCCAGTCCAGACTCTTCCTTGTGCATTTTCTTCCATCTTATCTACCTATACATAAATGAAAAAAAAAATCATTCAATAATCTATATTGATAGTGTAAATTCAAATAGTTCATGTTGTAAAATTCAAATAGTTCATGTTAAAATAAAAGAAAAGATTAGTAGTAGAAAAATTACAGGCATTGATCTTGAATAGGCTGCTTTATCTCGAAATTGTGTATAAGCATGCTGGGCAGACTTTGCAAAAAGCTCTGCTTCTTCCGGCCTATAACAAACTTGCTTTTAGAATGAGAGACAAATCAAATTTGTTTCTAAGATTGTAGCTATCAGTGAAAGTTTGCTCTTTGATGCCAAATGCAGGAAGATCTAAATATTAATTTACTCCCCAAATAAATGATTAATACTTCCAACATTACGTTAAAAAAAATTCACTTTCGAGATCCCAAGATCCCTACAATCTGAAGATTAGTTGTCAAAGTTTTGACTTCAATTGCCAAGAGTTTTTTTTTTTTTTTTTAACAAAACCTTGTCATTCATCAGATAATTGATCTCAAAGTATAAATAATACTTTGTATATTTTTTTCATAGAATTATCTACAAGCACTTATGTGACATATTCATTCATGCAATACCTATATCTTGTAAATGATCATATCAAGCTATAAAATAAAATCTTTCATTTTTCCAGCAAGTACTTGTGTAGCATAGTCATCTGCTTGACCTGCATTAAGAAGTGTAGAGCACAAAGGACAAGCTAGTTCCTAATTCCTAGTGATCTGCAGACGTCGTTCATTTTAGGAAACCTTGCCCAAGCATGCAAGACAAGAACTTTCACCTGAAAGATCGTTGCTCTGCCGCAGTCAGCTCAGCAAACTTTCCCCTTGATATGATCTCCTTGTTGAATCCAATCTTTTCATACAGCTTTCCCAAATTGAACTTCCCTATGGTCAAACAAAACTACATTATTTGGTGCACTTCATGTTACAGCTAAGGACACATTGAGTAATTATCTAAGTGTGCTATAGATTCTAGCATCTATCAGCTCAAGCATCACATTTTTTCAATCAATGCATAGGACTTCAGGTCAGAGTACAATCAGACATTCAAACGAGGTTGAGTATCAGCATGAACATTTGATTTGAGTATTTGACCCATAAGATATGTTCACTGCTGTGAAAAAACTTTACAAATCAATACGCCTCTGGAAAAAAACCCCAGCAATTCATTGCAGTTAGTATTTTGTTCAGGAGCAAATAGATACAGTTCAAAGCCCATCCTTCAGGAACATCAGGAAATAGAGAAGTATAAGCATGAAGAACTTAATGCAAAACATAAATTTATCACTCACAAGCCTAGCCAATGAATTGCCAAATGGTTATTAATCATTATAGCCTTTTCAGCTAAACATATGCACAATATTAGATGATAGAAATGTTGCACAACTTATATATTGGATCCATAGCATTAAAACTCGGCTGCATTGTGAAGGATTTTGAGCTTGCCAAAACCGAAATATTAGGCCGCAATAGCCGCATTCCACCCGCATTACCGCATCCGAGATTTAAAGCCATGATTGGATGTGGATTCTATATATTATTAGCAAAGGCAGAAGAAGAAATCAAAGGGTGGAACTTGGTGTTGTAAATTATCCCATCTTGGCATAGAATACTCTGGTTCAGATCCACGAGACCCACCTTTCCAAGAAAGTAAAGATTATGCCCTTTCTTTGTGAAGCAAGAAGAGGATGGTCAATATTAGATGAAAATAAAGGTTAAAGAGTAGATCAGCGGTACAATTATACTATGTGATGGTAATCAACCTCCTAACTCCCAATAATTCTGCACCAATTCTATGCAACTTACAATGCATCATTTGCTATTAGGACTGTTCCACATAATATGTCAGGCCACTAAGGATTTGCTTCCTCCTATTACAAATATTTTATCTAAAAATCAGCTGCACCAAGTGCAGTGTTGAAGGGAGTAACTTGCGGTTATCCCCAAGTGCATAGAGGATTTACTCAAGCCTACTGAGTATTGAACTATCGATGAGAAAAGTGATACAGGAGTCATTTACTGAAGCCTATTGATGGGACAAGTGATACAAAAGTCTAACCTGTGACAACTCCAATTGAACCAGTCAAAGTAAGATTTTCTGCAACTATAGTCGCTGCTCCCATCGCCATGTAATATCCCCCACTAGCTGCAACATCACCCATAGATGCAATAACAGGTTTTTCAGCAGCCAAAAGTCTTATCTCCCGCCACATCCTGAACATATTTGACCAGTGTTTATGCATTAATGCCATGTATAACTGTGATCATATCAATATTTATTATTTTCTGGGCCTTTTCACATGAGAATTTATTCATGATTGAGGTCATAATATTGTTAAAGACTGCAGTGTCAAAGCAGTATGTCGCAGTTGTTACATCACACTTCACTACCATCTAGAAATGAATTGACAAACCAAACTATCCTCTTCGACATCATAATTTTAATAGTTTTGGAATCTATTTTTTAGATTATACTTGAAACTTTACATATTGTCATTGTGGAACTCCTTCCATGAGTTCCATCTAAATAGAAACTTGCACGTTTTTTCAACTATTTAGATATTTTCATACTGTCATTCAATGAAAAAAATTCAACCCCAACTGTTTTTTTTTTTCAACATTTTAAGGAAATATATAAAGCATGCCAATGTCTTCAATCTACCAACTTGATTTGTGTGTTAAAACAATAAATGTTGAATGTCATTTGCCCAACATAGCTGGCTTCTAGTGTGATACATATGGATAATCAAGAATCCAAGAGTAACAAAAGAATATAAGTGAATAAAAATATAACCATGCATTCAAATATACTGTATGTAAGAATAGGATACACTTACAGATCTGAAGCAAGAGCATCACCACCAGGACTGTCAATTCGAATTATTGCAGCTTTGTATCTTTTGGATTCTGGACAGAAATTTCAACATTAATACAAACAAACAAACTGGTCAATCTTGAGAAGAAAAAAATTAACAATTACTTTGTAGAAATTTAGAGGACATCATCACACTACTAATGATACAACTAATCTTACAACCATGTTAGGCTATATTCAATCCATCACTAGCACTGCTTCCTGGACATTTGCTAACTTATCAATAAGGGAAAAACTATATAAGGTATGACAGATTGATAGGTGAAAGCTTAATTTTTATCTTCTGGAACGCTACCTATATCTGATTTATGCAACAATTACAAAAGTAAACCCATTGAAGAAAGTCAATAATGCATACTTGATAAGGTTAAACAAATCAGACAAAGAAAATAAGACATACCTCTTACACTGCGTATTTTCTCGATTAGCTGTTCTGCAACTATGCCTGACGTAGAGGAACTTAAAGGGCCACGAACACGACTGATGCTTCCAGAGGCTCTAATGACTGCAATCCTCTCTTTTCCTCCAGATAATCCCAGGGTCCATTTTTTCACTCCAGAGTATCGCCTGTAAATGCAGGGTTGTCATAGATTTTATTCCAAATTTCCTACATATGACTTGAGAGAGATCACTGGAAAATGTAGAGGTCTAATATCCCCTTTTGCCCTTTCACATTATTTGACTTTCTTAAGACAACTATAATTTATAAAAAGTAAAAACCACTTGACTTCCAGAAAATCCATGCTTCATAGAGAAACAAGAATACATTTGATATTTATAGCAGACCAGCACCAAATTCACATAATCCTCTGGTACAGCCAATAAGCTAACAATAATTATAAGTAACAATGATAAATTGAGATAAGCAGAATAATTTTGGTGAAACGCCATTCAGTATGTTTAGATGCACTTCAGCCCATTCTAACAGATTAATTTCTGAATAAAACACCTAAATTTCATATAGAAATAACAAAATATTGTACCAATTCTTTGTAGCAATTTCACAAGAAAATGATGGTAAAGTGACAATAAAATCTTGGATTTGGCTGACTTAAATCCCTACATGTAATTTCATTTGCATATAAAACTGGGTATTGATGTCTTTTTATTAAAAACTACAGTCTATGCCCATAACTCAGCTACTGTCAGAGAGGTATTATGTAATAGCTCAATAGTACTGTTCATAATACGAGTGATGCTTGGCTATGCGGTGGTGATTCTAATTGTATAATGGATGTTAATGAAAGAATTAGTTGCACTACTGTTACAAAACTCTTACACAATGAATCAGGGATACGATTTCTTGAATGATCAAATTCCTTCTCAACAATGGACTAAGCCCCTGTTCTTTTGGATTGACTGAATCTGCATGGAGGGACTAAACTAATATGTAATACTGAGAGGAAACTGGTTAAAATAAGGTTAACTGGAAAGCTGAAAAAATAATTTTTTAAAAGAACATGGACCAAGTGGGTATGGAATAGGTTAAGCATTCCAAAAATTAAAATCACTTTCAGGTCGGTATGGCTGCAAAGATTGAACACTAAGGTCAGCCTAGCAATTATAGCATCTGTGATGATCTTTGTCATCTTTGTGGCGCATGTTTGGAGACTAAGGTACATCTGTTTTCCCAGTGGCAGTTTAGTTGAAGATGCTTGCATCTTTTGCTTAAAGTGACAAATAGGAACTGGAGGGGAAATAATCTATGCAAATTATATATCTAACTATCTAAGTTAGCTCAAGCTTCAAAGGAATAGAATTTTTAAGGAAATTTTATAATGCTCTATTATAGCAGCTAGTGTGTAATGTATTTGGAAGGTAAGAATTGGAGCTGTGGGAGAATTGTGTGCGAAGACCTGAGCAGGTAAACAGAGGCTTGATCAATTGTAAATAGCTTGAGATCAAGATGTGTCTTTATGTTATCCTTCCTAGTAATCTAAGTAATTAACTAGGCAAGATAAACAGTGGCTTGATCAGGTAAATAGCTTGTGCTGATATTAGCTAGTGTTGTAATTGTTGTGATAGAGAAGGGAAGTCCATGTCCATCCCATTTGACTTTGTAAATGGCAGCTTGGTTTTGAGGTGATTAATACAATACCTATCTAACCAAATAAAGAATAAAAAATAAAAAAATAAAAATACTTAGGTCTTAATGAATTGAACTCCACATAAAACTAGATTTAGCACCTATCCGTTACTCCTACAGTGGAAAGATGGAAATTATTTTATACTATAGAAATTATCAATTTATCAGGGATAATTTCCATGTACGAGAACACTCCTTTTCTAAGTTTTTACAGGAATCATAATATTTTTAAATCTGTAACCATTCAAAATCATATTCTAGGACATAAAAATGAGCCCAATTTCACCTACTTACAAGCTCGTAATCACTTCCATGTAACAAATAAAATCCAGAGAGATTTTCTAATAAGTGTGACACACATGCATATGTATGACATGTTTTCTTTTTTATACAAAAATAAATACTATGTAATAAACAAATAAATACCTGTAATCAACCATGGGGAGTTTCTTTTCCTTCTCAAGCCCCAATCTTTCTTTCAACATTGAAACCACCTACATAAACATGACTAAGTGTGTCATTTGCGGTAACGAAAGCAAAAGATGATTGGCATGTAGCTGGAAATGAAGTGTTATGATGGATGATAAGCTATTATAATGAACTAGAAAAAGATGTGTTATTTCATGAACTCTACAGAAAAAGGTCTCTAATAAATAAGCCAGGAGTGGGTTTCTTACCTCATCATCGTAGTTAATATTTGTTATCCATCCCTCCTCTTTAAGCCTTTCAATTTTGTATACTCCTTCATTGATGAACTTCTCAACATCATCTTTGTTTTTTCCTGTACAGAAGTTTCAGTACAGAAACTGTAAAGCATTTTTTGTCATGTCAGCCCATGATTAAGATGGCTTTTATAATCAAGTGTAAGCAGACAATGGCAAATCACCTTTAGCAGCCGAAATTTTATCAAGCCAATTTCCATAGATATTATCAAGCAATGTAGTCAACATCTCTCGATTTTCTTCAGAAATGGATTTGCGTGTAAGCTGGTCTCCAGCACTTTTAAACTTCCCAATCCTCTCAACCTGTGGTTCGATACCTACTTTCTCAAAGATACCTGAATGCAGAGATTAAATTGTCAATGCTAAACGGTGCATGATTGCATGACAATAAATAATCCTAGCTATATTCATGAAAAAAAAAAAAAAAAAAAATCACAAAGAAGAGCTACTGTCGACCGATAACATAGAACTCCGTCATAGGCACAAATTGATTAAAACAAGAACTGTAACAATATATATTTCTTTAGCAAAAGGTTTATGCTCAACATGCACACAATCATACATGAATTCTACTAGAGCAAGATGTTCCCAAGAGAATATTAATTGCAAATCTGGAGCACAAAAAGTAAGTAATGCCAACCAAAACATACCTCCTAGAAATGATGCTTGAACAGTCAAACCATACAGCCGAAAATAAGCACTTGGAGGTGCATATACCTCTTCACAGGCAGAAGCTAGATAATACTCTTTCTCTCCGCATGTTGGAAGATACCCCACGACAAACTTTCCTGCAAAAGCAACATATCACATAATTGTGGATGGTCTTTAAAGGTAAGAGAATGAAGATGATCAGCACAAAGTTAGCACGAGATCCATGAAAGGTCTTTACAGGCTGCAGTGCCGCTGCTAGCCATCCTAGGACTCTAGGAGCAACCAAACAAGTCCTTCTATCATTCAACAAGATTCATCCTCATTACTATATAAGGATCTGACATACACATTCCACTTCCGTGGAATTGGTACTTAGCCAAACAAACACCAGTCGTTCCTTAACTTTCATACAAGTCCTTTCATAATTTGCAAAGAAACAAACTAAGGCCAAAATTTCTACTATCTTTATACACCTGAACATCATGTCAATGCAATTTAATCGAGCAAAATCAGCGACACCTAATGCATTAAACTATCAGCTTCGAAAAACAAAGAATTATAAACACAAACACAAAGAATGTGACACTAAATGCTCACCTGACTTCCGGAAATCCAAAATATGCCTCCGAATTTCCTCAACTTTACCCCATCCACAATTCAAAGATTCAATATGAAGATAAACCCCAGAAATCCTAGGATCATAAGCTGCCTTTATAAAATTCTCACAAATTTGTGGCAGAGACAACCCTTGCGAAAACCGAGATTTCAACTGATCAGAAATCTGAACTTCATAAAACATACACAATTATCATTACAAGAATCCAAAATCAACACATTAAGTAAGACTTTTAAACATATAATTGATCATGTCATTCATGCACAAGAGTCCAAATAATATTTATGCAATAACCCGAGACATTGCTCGAGCCCAAAAACTAGTTAAACACTTAGAATCATTAGCAACACTAATCAACGCGTGATTTGTCATCCATTCCCGAAATCAGTATATAATTAAAGGAGGTGAAATAAACCTGGCCACGCAATTTGATGGTGAAAACACTGCCCTTCTTAACCCTTTGCCAAGGAAAAGCAATGAGCATACGACACTTAACAACAAAACTCTTCCAAGCGCCAAATTCTTTGAATTCAAATTCACCACTAGGAAAAACTTCCGAGGATTTAGGAACGCCATTAACAGAATCTTCGTCAAGCTTTTCTTCAACCTTAACCTTAGAATCAGAATCGGAATTGGAATCGGAATCGAAAGCGTTGGTGGAGAAATTGAAATTCCGGCGGCGAAGAATCGGAGCGAGGCGAAGAAAGCAGGAGAGAGAGAAAGAGGAAGAAGGAGGAGGAGTGACAAAATGGGAGGAAGAATGAGAAGAGAAGATGGGGGAAGAGAGAGGAAGTGGGGGTGGAGGAGAGAGAGTGGAGAGAAGGTGGAAGCTATGGCGGTGGATTGTGTGGAAGCGAGGAGATGAATGAAGGAGTTTCGCCATTGTTGTAGCAGAGCAGAGCTTGTGAAGTGAAGTGAGGTGTTTGATTTCTGGTATTGGAAGTTTGGTATTTGAATGAGTGGGGAGGAAGAAAGAAGATGATGAGTTCAGGAAGGTTACATATTCCTCCACGTCGACACTCTTACATCAAGGAATTTAAACTTTCGCTTTTTTTTATTTTTAGTAGTATGAAAGATCCTACTTAAACAGCATATCTCACAAGTTACAACTTAAATCGAACTAACTTTATAGATCAACATTTGAGAATAGAGAGGAGGAGATAAGGAAATTCCCCCTACTTCCAACAGTTCCAAACAAGTGCAGTTGTAACTCACACTCGTTACTAGTTAGGACTGTATATAAACAATTAAACATATTTCATATACTTAGGGGCGAAGCCAGGATATTAAAGCTATAGGGGTCGGCTAACACTTTAGTGAAAAAATATAATTAAAATAAAAATAGTTTAATACTTTAATTGTATGAAAAAATAAAATTCATTAAATCTTTTTTTTTTATTATTATTTTCCATGCATTCTACTAACATATGTATTTGTTAGAAAATTTTCTATGAGCTCCTACATATCACGTCAAAATAATAACATATATATTAATTTTGATGGTATATAAATACTTCCTCTATCCTTCTTGCATATATGCAATGCCTAGTTTTATTAAGACACGCTTTATAATACATTTTATTAACTATCGATATATCATTTTAAGCCTTTGTTAACATTACAAAAAATTTATATACGAAATATTTAAAAATTAAGGAGAATCTAAAAGATCATATTTAATTATATTTTATCTTATTTATAAATAGCAAACAACAAAAAGTATTAATCTTTAACTCTTTGTCGCTAATGGGGATTGATCCTAGGATCAAAAATCCCTAACAATAGGCTTCAAACCACTGTGGCAAACATTAAATACAATTAATTTGCAAAAAAAAATAGTATTTATATTAAAAATAGCTAGGGGTCAACAATAAAAATAGTAAGCCGCAAAATTGAGTCATAGGGGCCAGGCCACCACCCGTCGCCCATGTGCCTCCGCCCTTGCATATATTCCCGCCGTTTGTTTTATAGGCTAGAGTTGAAATTTTCCACTATTCATAAGTTATCATTGACTTAATTTTTTTACCAAAATATAATATATCAATATGATTATATAATATGTTAGAATTGTCATATTGTCTACTTTTATAAAATATTTTTTTCATAATTTTTACCAACCTCTAATTAAAAATATTGATGGTTGAAGTTGTGTTTTGACAAATGTGCAAATCCAACTCTAACTTATAAAAAAAATAGAGGGAACACATATGTTAAAAACTCTCACCTGGCTTGATTCTATTCGACCCGGTTTTAAAGTAACCGATTCAAATTTCAACCTTTTACTATTTCTTATAAATCAAAGTGGAATTACTTTTGTTCACTTCAATTGAGTAACTTGTGGAATATCATACTTGTATATGGGAAGGTTCAATATAAAAATATCTCAATAAAAGTTATAATGTTATGAATTCTGTATTTGTTTGATCTATATGCACACCATGCATCTAATCTATAAATTTATAAATTTGAAGTATAGTATACACAAACCATCTTTAAGAAGTATATTTTATCGACTATCTTAAGTGGAACACAAATACTTCACTCATTGCTTGGGAGTAGAGATCAACGACTTGTTCAAATGACAATTAAGGATGTAATTTTCTTTATGAAAATCATTTTATGCAAATGCCTTAGGAAGGACTCTGAACATATTTTCAATAAGTTAAACCTACATTATTCGAGGCAAAAAGCTTTAATAATTTCCATCTCAAAATTGAAAACGATTGAACATGTATATGTATGAGGTTCACCCAGTTCATCTGCCACATGAACGATACCTTGTTTATCTAGGGGTATTTTTGGCTTTTCACTTGAAAGTCAGGGGTACATGCATAAATTGGTACGTACTTCTTTTGATGACCATTTAACAGTCGTTGAACAATTAAAACTCCTGTTTGCTGCATTCTTCTTCTTCCTCCATTGAAACACATTTCTTCTTCTTCCTCAATCTTCTTCTTCCTTCCCCGATCTCCACCAACACCACCATCTCCGGCGGCTAAAACGAAAACCCTACGAAAAAAAGAGTAATTAAGGGTATAGTGAATCCCTAAGGGTAGGGTTGGCCTTGTCTTCCATAAAATTCCTCCATTGAGGTCCTCCATTAAAGCTAATTTTCAGCTTCAATTTTTTACCCCAAAGTTCAAAATCTAGTTTCTCTCTCCTAATCCATGGATGGCAAATTTGTGACATGGATGTTAACGGACAAAGTTAACTTCCGTCATTTGCTATATTGCTGTCATTGTCAACTACAAATGCAAGTTGAATAAAGTAAACTTCCAACTAAGCAATAATATGAATAAAATAAGGAATAATAACAATATTTACAAGTTTGCCATCAAGATTAACGATATTTGTTTATGTCGGTGATAAACTTGAATTTTCTCGTATATGTATTGTTCTCCTTAAGGATTTGCAAGCACTTAATTTCTCTCCTTCTAGTGATGAAAAGTGTTGGATAGGAATTGCTTCCTTAACGTTTTCGTTGAGCTGATGCATTACAGCAACAAAAATTTCCCTTCTCTGCTTCTGAGCTTCTCATCATGGGAAAGGTTGCTATCAGTATACGATCACTTTCAACTTCCACATCAAACACGTTAATGAAAAAAGATCATCCATTCCAAACACACTCTATCAGGCTGAAGCTTCAGTAATGTCAGAAACATAACATGCTCGAAATTTTCTTGAAGACACCAACAAATACAACAATCTAGTAATCTCACATCATCTCCCTTCTATTTAATCCACTTCGAGCCTCACACCATATACATTCACTTCATCACATTCATTATTGGCTTAAACTATTTAGTTTGTTGGGAAGCAACGGCAAGAGCCTTTCCCTGGTCACTAATATTCTGAAGATATCGGTCACTATTGGCATCAAGCGCACGGATGTGACAAATCATAAGGGCCTCCAATAGCTCCTTCCTGTATAAAGGATTTATTGCCTATGAATGAGAATTCTTCTTAGAAACAAATTTAAGACACCATGCATACAAACAAAAGCTTAAAGCAAATGAAGTTTCAAAATACTACCTATTTCTTTTAAATCTATTAATCTACTTATTTTGACTTTTTACAATTGTCAGCAAGAAACTTTCACCACTAATATCTTTAATTATCAATAATTAAACATCATAAAAAGTTGACATTGAGAGACTATAGGTTGAGATATTTCTAACAAGATCCTAGATTATTATGATTTTCTCAAGAGGATAACTAATATTAGTCAAAGTGGAGCATGTGAATAGCACAAAAGGTCAAAATGGGTAAATGAAAAGAACAAAATGGAGGGAGTAACACTTGTGAAAAAAGTCGTCCTTCTCATCAATGCACAAGTCATACAAACATACCTCCAACACCTCATGTTATAATGTTTTAGAGGGTCTTATTATGTTTAGAATGACATAATATTGAGCTCTCAACTAAATGACAAAAATATGAGAGCGAGAGGGGTGATGGGATAGAAGAGAAGTTGAAAGCGCTAACAACGGATAAGCATTCACCAACAAGACCAGACAGACCGGCTATTGCAAGAACTCACAAGTGTCAGCATGATTGATGAGAGGAAATAGTATATTTAGCTATTCATTAGTGTGTTAGATAACAAACAGCTAGGTAAACAGCCACTCAGTATTCCTCTCTACATGTTATCTATTAAGTCACTAGTATGTAACACTTAAACCATAACAGACTGCTAAACACTTACAGGTAACAGCTGCAGTACTAACACCACCCCCCCCCCCCCGGGCGCCTCCCCTCTTGCAACCATTTCCCACAAGCCCCATTCATAGCGTCAACCATAACTCCATAAGGGCAAGCATCTTCAGGCAAAATTCAAGCCACCAAAGATTTTCAAGTGGTATTCTCCTCTTTTTTTGGGGAAAAAAAAAAAACCATTTCGGCCCTTTCCTTTTATGAACTTCAAATCTCCCTAAATCTCTCATACAGACATTATTTGTGTCTTCCACAGTAGTCTCCACCATTAACTCTTTCCTCTCTTTTCCTCTTCCCCAGATACCTAAATGATCCAAAAACTGATCTAGCTTATCAATTCTCACCAAGAAAGAAAGAAATACAGAATTAGAAATTTAGAACCCCCAAAGAACCAAATTTCTATCCCCAACAGTGCCTGCTCAAACCTATAAAATTCCCATTCCACACATTTCCAAGTTGGACTAAAGGTTTAAAAATTAAAAAAAAAAAAAGAAGAAAAAAAGAAGAGAAGAGAAAAAGTGCACCCAAAAATGTGATATTAAGGCCAGATGAGTTTGGGATGAGGATTTAGTGATCTGCGAGATGTTATTAATATTATTATGAGAAGAAATAATTCCAAAATTTGCAGCTTACTGATGGTTTCCCTCTATGAAGTTGGTTGTTTATAATATATGCAGGGAAGCTATGTTGTAAAGGGCCATGACATATGATATGGTTCCTTCTTGACTGCCCTACCTTTGAAGTAAATATGATAAGCTATGTATTCAATAGATATAACCGGTAAACAAAATATAATAGCCTACAACAGAGATTCAGATGTATTTCAGCTAAGCTACACAAAGATCTATGATGTGCAAGCTAAGAATCCATTTTACAGAAGCCCTAATTCCATTGTACCATTGCATCACCTCCACACAATTTTAAGAAATTCAACATACCACAAAGGCCTCCAACCCATGACATTCAACAAAAGCATGTTGGATAACATCCCACAAGCCCTGTTTCCCAGAGAGGTATACAACAAAGAGGTCTAAGGCACAGCAGTGTGATAAGAAAGAGTAATGATTTCACTAAGCACGTGACACGGATTTACAGCATTCTTAAATCTTGGAGAAGGGGAAGTAGAAGCAGCTAAAAGGTTAATCACCTAGACTTTGAAAGACCATGAACAAGAAAGGGGGACGTATTGGAATGAGCAAATGACAAAGAAAGATGGATCATTTCCCTCATCAATCCCAGCTATTCATAGTATGGATACTATGAATTCAATAGCTTCACTCAAGCATAAGCCTCGTCATCAAAACTGATCTCATTTTCCAATCACTTCACTGATCACACTCTAAGAAACCAAAAATAAAACCACTAAGGACCCATCATCTCTATGGATTTCAGTTCGGATTACAATTTTCTGTTTTATGATATGAAAATTTGTATGACTAACGG